GTAGCGTGGGTTATGTTCCTTTAATTGAAACTTACTTTCTTAATCTAGAGTCCCTCTGGCTCAGCTGAGACTGATGTTTCGTTTGTATTAGTTAGTCTCCTCTTCTTGAGGCAGATCTCTCTAATAAATATTTTCCTACTCCATCATCTTGTTAACCAAGATGCTCCTTTTAATCTGGGCCATACAAAACCCCTAAATTAATTAAAAGTTAAAAAATTTTTTTCTATATTATTATTATTTTTAAAATTTAATTTTCGTGCTTGGTGGAAAAATAGTCTAGGAAAAAAACTCAGCAGGTTTCTTCCCAGAGTATCCAGCCAATGGCTGGCCAATATTTCAAAAGCTTATTCCAGTTGTTCTACTCAGCTTTGGAAGATTAGTGTGAATTTAATGCCCCCAATGTTAAGGCCATTAGAGTAGGAAAACACTTCTAAGATATTATGAGAACATTAAAAGGTATCCTACTCGAGTTGGTCACCTAAACAACTTTAGGATTGGTGTAAGACTCAGGGAAAATAAAGGAATGGGAAAAATTTGAAAAATGGATAAGCAAGAAAAAATTCAATACAAAATGAAGAAAAAATTTTAAACTGAGCCTGTCAGCGAAGCGCCAATAATCTGTCCTTATATGAAGCTAATTAAGACTCAAGGCAGAATACCGCCATGTCTTCAGCCAACAAAATTTGGAAAAATGTCCGCCGGATAGAATGTGAAGGATAACATATTAGCTTCTAGCCCTTTGAACCAACCTTTTGTATGTGGCTCTTGTAAAAAAGAATCATGCAGGACAATAAATGAATTTATGGATGATTTCTAAAAAGAATATTTTATAAAGCTAAATAAATTATTTTGTTAATAATTAAGAAAATGAATGTTTTGATCATGTTTTTGGAATTTATTTTAAATAATCTTACAATTATAAAAAAGTTTGATTCTATTTAGTTGAATCATTATTTGTAATAGAAAAATATTCAGCCATAATTAAACAAGTTCTTTTATTTTCTTGATTTTTAAGTGAATATTTCAAATTTATATATTGAATCAAAAATAAATCTAAAATATATAAATATAAATTTTAATAAAAATAGAAAATTTAGATTCGATTTGCACATTTAAGCTGATCATCTAAATCAATATATAATAGGATTTTGCAAAAATAGTACATGCCAAAATTAAAGACCCTACTGTCATTTTTGTTTGCCTCGACATGCCCAACTTCCTTACATCTTAAGAACCATTATTTGAAATGGATTAAGGAAAGAATCCTAAAATCGCACTTAATAGTCTAATAAATATATTCCTTCCTTTCAATAACTTTAATATATAATAATTCCAGCAATTAGGACTATCTCAGATTGACTAATTAATATTGCAGTAGTAGATTGCTTTTCAATCATATCTTAAGATTGCTTTTGGATTGATAATAAATGTGAAAGGAAACAATTTCATCATGCTTCGATTGATTACATACATTCAGACTTAAATTACATGGTAATTGCATTGTAAAAATAGGATGAAAATGCGAAACTGCAATTCACTTTTTGGAAGAGATATTTACAACTCTGCAAACTTGTCAAGGTAATATATAAAAATATGAATAAGTAAAGTTTTCAAAGCTGGAAATCACTTTGGAAACTTCTACTTTCTTAAGCTTCTGAGATACTTAAAGAATGCAACAAAGAGATTGAGATTGATATTTGTATGATTAAAAATCAGCTAAATACTTGAAGATATTCTTACATATTGCTTATTTTAAATTGTTGCATGAAAAATGAAAAAATAGTTTAACTTAAATCAAAAATAATATAAAAAATAAATTAATAGTCTTGGAATGGGCATTATTGATATTTAATAATCAATTTATTTATTTCTTTTAAATGACAAACATTTTCTTATTATTTGTTAAGTTTTGTAGAATTTAATTCATTTTTCTAATATTAAAATATAAATTGTCTGTTAAAGTTTTATTATTAATTTTTGTTTGAAAATATATTTTCTCTCTTGCAATGTAGAGACTATAAACCATTGCTTGTTCGGCTTACGTTACCCAAACGAACTGTTTTTGATATGCTTGCAAGAGAACTTCACTTGACCTGGCCTGTTAAATTTAAGAGAACTTTAGACGAAATTTCAAACTTTAGGGCATTTGGCAGGGTGGAACAGACCCAAAAGATTAATGTCGTTAAATTTCCAAGAGTTTCTTTTGAGGGAGTCAATAATCCTACTTTGATAAAATCATTTATTTATTTTTTTTTTCGGTAAATTATAATTTTTAAATAACTTTTTCTAAGTAAGTAACATCATTAGATTAATTTAATATGAAAAAAGTTAAATACTCAAGATATTCTCTCTTTAATCGTGATTATGAAATTTTTAGATCTTTTTTTTAATTATCAAAAATAACAATAGATAGCGATCGTTGAAAAGTGAATAATAAATTAAAAGGATTAATTTATATAAATTTTGATAAGCATATGATCTCTGACAATCATTGCAAAATAAACTAAGTTATGATTTTTACTTAATTATTTTTTGTATAATTTAATTTATAAAAAAGCATCAAAAATAATTATCATTAGGTGTCCATACTTTTTTTTCATACAATCTTGGTAAGGTTATTAGTTTTTATAATCTTCTTGGAGTTAAGGGGTTTTCTGAAATCAAAGATGGCTGAGGATCTAACAGTCGCAAATGGGTATTCGCTAACTAAAATACTTAAGTATGTTTTTGATCCAGTTCTTTTTTCTTCAAACTTCCAATAAATTATTTATTTTGCTTAATAAACAATTTAAGTACCTCTTCTATTTATAACTTTGACCTTTCATTTGTGATTGTTTTCCATTTCTCTAATCTTTGAATTTCTTTATCACTCATTTAATTCTATTTTAGTGTGGGAAAGTCACTTTGTAATTTTGATAATGGATGTTCAATTTTAAATGTAGCTGCAAATTCATTTCTTAATCATACTTATCTTTGGGCTTTTGTTTCTTGATGGAGTTATTAATTATGCTTTTTAGGTTGCTGTCAATGCTGGCACTTCATTATCAATAAAGGTTTATTCATTAAACGCTTACTCAACATGGGTAGCACTAAAAAATGGTGGTCTATTGATTGCATTTTCAAAGCTAGAAAATTTGTTCTTCGAGCTCTTTGCTTTCCTTCTTTTCTATTTTTCTTCTTCTATCTTACATTAAGCTTCACTATATTCATTATGCTAAGTTTTTAGAAATGTTTAAAGGTCTTTGATTTGTTATTTGTTTTCCTTTATGTTTGAAACAATCTGTAAATTAATAAATTAGTTACCTGTTACTTTATTTCATTATATTCCATTAATTTTATGTCTAAGTTAGATTAAATTTTTTATAAAGGCAAATAATCACTTTATCAAATCAAAATCTTCTTTATTAGATGCATTCCACCATTTTTTATATTTGTAAAAGTAGATACAGGATTTTATCAAATCACCCTGAACAACAACATGAGAATAAGCAGCTCTAAAATTTGCTGATTTCTTAAGAAACAAAATCTTTATGAGAAATTAATAATGATTAAATTACCTTGACAAAAGAATATTCAAAAACATAAGGAACTTTAAGATAATTTATCATTAGTTAGTCATAATTGTGTTATTTCGGAAATAAATGAATCTCTTAGCTATAGAAAAAATTACTAATTAATTTAAATTAAAAATCTATAAAATTAAATACTAAAAGATCTTTAAAACTTCTCAAACAAGCAAAAAATAATTTAAAGAAAAATCAAAAAATGCAACTCTGGAAATAATCCTTTTGAAATGATTGCATCTCTAAATTTTGATCGAGAACTGAGATGGAAATACAAATAAATCTATTGTTTAATTTTTTTGAAAAGGATAATTTATTTAAGTCAAGTTAAATTCTTATAAAAATATCTTTGATATCAATAAAAATCATGATTATAATTATTTTCTTTTGGATTTGAGATTATCCTACAATCTATAATTTTCTTTTTATAATAAACTTAGTTTTTCCTCCAATGCTTACATTTTTAATTAATCAATTTATTGCATTTCTTAAAGATATTAAACTTAATTTTCTAATTCAGCAACATAATTATTATCTTATGTAGAATTATGTAGACGAAGTGTTTAGATTGATTCTTTAAACTATTCTAAGCTTTTTCTTAACTCATTTACTTCATCTTCCATTTATTTATTGCTTTATTTAAGAATGGCATTTTCTTCTATTAATCTTTTCATTTTTCTTTAAACATCTGGCGACATCACTCCTTTTACTTATTCATGAATTTTTTCATCAAGAATTTATTAATATTTTCGAATTTCATCTTCCAAATAATATATTTTTTGTTGTTATTTTTAATTATATTGATTTAATTCTTCATTTTCCTTTAGAATGTCTTTAAGTCTGTATTCAAATTATTCCACTAATTCCTTATAAACATTTAATTATTCTAAGACATGAGATATTTCGCTTTACTATTAGATAATCTTTATTAAATTTAATAATACAAATTACCTTCTATTATTTTATTAGTTACTGTTACAATGTATTAACTTGTTACTCCAAATACTAATTAATATTAATTTATTGTTCCAAGACTTATAACATTTGACTTTATTTATCATTTTCAATTAAATCTTAACCAGTTGATTAATTTGATTAGTGACAATCGTGTAGTTTTTGCTCAAATGTCTAATTTAATGGTTATGACTATCTACGATCATATGGTTTATAATTATTATTGAACGAGGTTGATCTAACTTATTTTATTTCAACTTATTTTATTTACTAAGACATAGTATAAAGTTGTTAAATAAATTAATGTAATAAGAATTATTATTGCCTGAAGATATAGAAGATAAGAGACAATTAATAATAGTCTTAGAATAAGCACCATTAGAGATAGCAACAATAAGACAGTAGGTAGTTTTACTCAATGCTGACGAACATAAAAATTACATCAATTAAACTTTGAATAAAGATTATTCACTTTATAGACCTGATATTTTGCACCATTGCTTACTTAGTTTATTAGATTCTCCCTTAAACAAGGCTGGGAAATTAAAAATTTACGTTCACACAGCCTAAAATGTTATACTTGATATTAGCCCTAAATTAAAAGTACCAAGAACTTATCAATCATATGCTGCATTATTTGCATAAGCATTGCATAAATTGAGAGTTAGAGCAGTAGAAAGTTCAGAAACCTTAATTAAAGTTATCAAAAATCCTATTACAGATCATTTACCAAGTGAAGCCCTTAAAATAGGTACATCTACACAAGCTAAACTAATTGATATAAAATAATTTGTAAAATCTCATAAATAATTTTATTAATAGATAAAATAACCAAACCTCAATCAAAATAAACCAATAGTTTATGTTATTGGAGCTGTTTCTAAAGGTAATCCTGGAATGGAAGCTCAATATATAGATGAATGCATCTGTATTTCATAATATTCTTTGAGTGCTGGATATTGTTTATAAAGAATTTCTAATGCCTATGAAGAACTTTGGAGTATTAAATGAATATAATTAAAATATTTTTTATTAAATGTCAACTTAAAATTATTTTTGAATTTAATGATAATATTAATCTAATTGGAGGATATGAATCTCTGCAAATTATTCAAAATTAATCTACTGATTTATTGAGAGCTCAAAGTTAAGATGTTATTATCTATAAAATCTCATTATTTCTATTATTATTTACAAGTAGCTAGAATATTAAATTGTCAAGCTCTTCAAATATCGATAATGTAACAGCATAATCAAAATATAACAAATGAATAGGTAACTAATAAGAACTTGAATGATGCTACATATGACAAAATCTTAATTTTTGTTTGAAACTATTATAAAAATAAACAACTAAAAATGAGGAAACTGAAAATCTAAAAAAGATTCACAAGTAACTAGATTTCTATTTTGAAGAAAATTTATTTAATAATCACACTCCTATTTACTTGGTATTCAATAAATTTAATTATATTCATAAAAACTCAGTATAAATAATATTATTTGGATTTTTTAAGTATTATAATCTAATTCATTGAAGTTGAGAGTATAAAGATATCTCAAATTATTAATTATAAATACTGATTTCGTTAAAAAAAGGCTAATTTGCAAAATAGCTTATTTATTTAGCTTTAAAAATAGAGTATGATTTAACTCTAAAAATAATGGAGGTAGTTATAAATAATCAAAATATTCAATCCTAACTTAAAAAGATTATAATACAGTTTAATTTTTTAGATTAATAAAATTTCCATTTGATCTTTGATGTTTTCATCAGAATTCTTACAGGTAATTGTATAAATGTATAGAGACTGTTAAATTTAGGAATTTCTGTTCATAAATTTATTGATTCATTTTCCAAAGACTGTTTAATTGATAATAATTTAAGATAAGAACAATAACATATTTATTTTTTTTGTTCCATAAATTTAGTAATTGGTATGGTTATATATAATCTAAATTTTTAGTTATAATGTCTTTTGAATAAATATTATAATTTATTGGCTTGTATATTAATTATTAAGATTTAAGTAATGTTATTATTTCAATTTTTAATCAAGAATTATAATGGATTAAATTTTTTCGATTAGCCAATTGATTCAACAAGGAAATTTTAGTTAGTAGAATTTGATGTTCTCGTTTCAAAAATAATTTTATGATGTTATATTTGATTAATTTTTATTATGTAAATAATTTACGGATGTATTAAGCAATTATTGATTAGATGTTTAAATATATTCAAATACACAAGAGTAGAAAATGTAGAGAAAAGTTATT